AGCCCCAGATCCCCACCCAAGCAAGTCTGGTCTTGCAGCAGCTGCAGTGGTGGTCACCCCATGCTGGCTGAAGTAGGTTCGGTTTACAGTCCCGGTGGGATTGATCCAGAACCTGCTCTCAGCAGCAACAGCGTGGAGCAGTGCTGGTGGTAGTAACACCTGCCAACAGGCAGGAGCCACGTGCCAGTAATAAATTGGAAAGACTGGGCAAACTTGGGTTTGTCAACCTTTGCCTGCAGAGATGATGTCGTTTGCCCACTCTTGCCGTTGCTTTTAGCTTGAGTTTTTATCACCCTCTGCTCCTGAGGGGAAGGCGTGGGGCGGGGGCTCCGTTAGCAAGCACACTGAAGTTTTAGCGACAGGAGTCACGTTGCTGCCTTAGCCCCTCTGCTGTGGTGCTCAGCGCCGACTTCGCTTTCAGCACTGCCGTGCGAGGTCTGCTGCCGCTCGGATGCACACCCACAGCACGTTCGTTTCTCTTGTCTCTCTTTCCAGCCAGTGGAGGTGTTTTGAAGCCTGTGGATTAAGCAGGAAGGGAAAAATGGGTGTGATCTATGAGATCTATCTATCTGTTTACTTTCTCCTGCCTTGCTGTAATGGCCTAACTGAATGCTTCTCTCTGTGCCTCTTGCTGCTGTTACACAGACACTTCATGCAGCCTCAGCGCTGCCACAAAGGGTAGTATTTTCCCCCTTAGACATTCTTTCCTCTAGGGGTAGCTACGTGGTTACCATTCTGACATGTCATTCATCACAGCCTCCAGTACTGCTAGATTCAAGTAACTGTAATCTGGTTTGAGCTGTTTCGCCATGGAGAGAGATATTGTACTCTGTTTTAGCAGGGTATGGTGAGGTTGCACGAAAGAATGATCATGTGGAGTCATTTAGGTATTTAAAACAGATCCAAAGCTGTTGAGGGAGCCTTATTATTTGGCCCTCTTGCAGCATAAGGTCTGAATTAAATGTGTTTTGTTACATAGGTCCTGCCATGTATTTTTGTAGGGTCTGGGGCTGCATGTCCTGTATGAGAAGAGTGTGTTCTGATATAATATGATTGACTGGTGACAGACAGATCTGTCCTGAACAGCTGGATGCATCTGATATCATCTATTTTTCATGCGTATAATCTCCCACCAGATAACGTCTTTAAAAATACCAGGGATTGGAAATAATCCTTGGCGTAACATGCATCCTCGGAAACTCACACATGCACATACTCCGGATCAGAGGCAGGGTTGGTGGAGAAGGGATTTTGGGGATGGAGAGGCTATGGAGTAAAAGGAGCAGGCAAAGGAGGATCTGTGGCTGGGGAGCTCTCTCTCAAGGTGTGACTCTGGGGTAAATTTCCCCCAGCCTCTTCCCAATCCTGGGTAACTCGCAGTGCTTCTCAAGCAGAGGTTGTTTTTTGTTTCTGCAGATAACCCCTGCATGATGTGAGTGAAGACACAGTGCCAGTTCTTCTTATGTGTTGTACATTTTGTGTGACTATAAAATAAAAATTGATGCTCCTCACTGCTTACCGTCTACATTTTTTCCCCCTTATGTCTGCTCTGAGCAGTCATAAAAAGGTCACTTGTGCTGTAGCAGGATTTAAGATCAAGGATTTTTATTAGCTTGCGGGAAGGCTTTCCCTTCCTGTCTGCATTCAAAGCGGATAATTTGGCTTCTGTTAGCAGCAGGATCAAGCCCTGAAAACCAATGGAAAAAACTTCATTTGACCTAAATGGTGCAAGGCCAAGTTTTTAGGCTTCTGTTTTGTGTGTCAAAGACTAATACTGTCATGGGAAGCATAAGCAGCAGGAGCTTTCCTGCATAGTAACAGAAGACTGTGCTGCTAAAAATTCCTCTACAGAGTGTTTTTGCAGAGCCGCCTCCCCAGCGTTCTCCATCTGTTTTCACACGGAGATTAATAACAAATTGTTTGGCTAATAAACTGCTCCCTGCTCTCTCTGAAATTTGACCATTTCTGTTCCTTCCCTCCCGTGGACAGTTACTGGATTCCTGTCTGCCCCCGTGGTCCCACGTGGGAGACATCACTAATACCAGATGCACAGGAATTGTCGTGCTCCACAGCAAGGCTTTTAAGGGGTGAAGATCTCAGTGTATGACTGCAAGAGTTGGTGCTGTGGACAGCTGCATAGTGCTGAGGGCTGGCCTTGCTCTTACAGGACATAAAGAAAAGGAAGAGAGAAAAAATAAGGCCTGTGTACACTAGTGTGATTTCTGCAAGAGCAACAACAGAGAAAATATTCCCAGGAAAAATGGGACTGGGGGGTGGACCTGTTTGATTCACCAGCATCCCTGTGGGATGTGGGGCTGATGGTGTTTTGAAGTGCTGTGTTCAGAAGGTCTGGACCGGGTGGTGGAGGGTATTCCAGCTGCTTCATTGGCAGGAACAGATGAGAAAAGAATAAACATCTACTGTGAAAATAGGCTTAAGGTCAGGAGGGATCTTTGTGATCTTCCAGTCTGACTGCTCCCTAATACAAGCCCACATTAACACCTCTTTTGGTCAGGTACTGGTGACCAAACTGCTGCCAAGACCCCCAGTTCAAATTTGGAAGTTTCCAGTGATGGAACAACTCTCCGCAGCCCACCATGATGTTTATCAAGTGACACCTACCTACTTTGTTAAAACACCTACCCAGCGTCTGCCCTGTATTTCTGTCTTTCAGCTGTTAATCTTACTGCATCCTCCTCTGCTGGATCAGAGGAATCTTCTTCATGTGTTTATTTCTGACTGACATCAGATTTTACCTCCTGTGCCTTCAACAGAATAACCTGGGCTCCTTGGCTTCCTTGCCCCAAGGGCTCTGGCGCAGCCTCAGCAATGGTTTTTGCAGTAAATTTAGTATTGTACAGAGCTGTTTTCCAGTACGCCTGCAATTCAGGCATACATTTTGCATGGCAGGTGTAAACTCAGGTGGCAATCTAAACAGTCTGTTCCCAGCCGTGCTGCAGAGCTAGCCGAGACATTCCCTGCCCAGTGGTTCAGAAGTAGTCTGACTTCTGGGGTATGCCAACCACTGATTTTTTAAATTTCATTTTATGTGTCTTCTGATCACCAGGGAAGATTTGTTTTCTATAATGCAAAAAATAATCTGAATTATGGAGTTCTTTAAGGCCACATAGAGCCGGCTGGCCACAGTCTTAGGCATTAAGAGAATGCCTGGAGAAGAGGAGGCTCCGAGGAGACCTCATTGCAGCTTTCCAGTATCTGAAGGGGGCCTACAAGGGTGCTGGGAGAGGACTTTTTACAAGAGCCTGTAGTGATAGGACAAGGGGTAATGGGTATAAATTGAAATCAGGGAGGTTTAGATTAGATATCAGGAAGAAATTCTTCACAGAGAGGGTGGTGAGGCACTGGAACAGGTTGCCCAGAGGAGCTGTGGATGCCCCATCCCTGGAAGCGTCCAAGGCCAGGCTGGATGTGGCTTTGAGCAACCTGGTCTAGTGGAAGGTGTCCCTGCCCATGGCAGGGGGGTTGGAACTAGATGATCTTTAAGGTCCCTTCCAACCCAAACCATTCTATGATTCTATGATTAATGTGATACAATTAGAAGTTGTGTGTGAGGCCTTAATGGTTGATCTGAAGTTCTGCAACAAATTTCAAAACAAACCAGCAAAATGTTATATTTACGACAAGACCAGAACCATGCTGCCAAATCTAAAAATGCTCAACTTTTTTCTAGCATCTGCTCAAGTATAACAATTTCCCCAGTGGGCTATAAATTATGACAACTATGTTTCTTAGTTTCCTCTTAAAGAGCTGACTCAGATACTAGATATAAGCTTAATTATTGGTCATGTGCATTCTTTTAAATATAAACATTCATGTAAATGTTCAACAGAGCTCCTCAGAGTTGTTAAAACATAGAATCATAGAATCATAATCACATTATTCAGTGTATTCAGATTTGTACCTAAATACTTAATGAATATTTGGGACAATCACTTTCTTAAATGTTATGAAATCTGAGAACCATTAATCCTGCATTTTCCATGTTCATGGAGCAGGATTTGTCTGCCTCGATGCATGTTTAATTGTATGGTTTTTACTTGGGCAGCTTTCCCATAGATGACAATGTCACTTCATACTGCTGTTAATTTTGCTTGAATGAGGAGTAAAAAACCAAGCCCTTACAAAGATTTGTGAAGATTTGGGTTGTTTTCCCTGCACAATCACAAGGCTTTGCTGTGGTTTCCAATTCCCTCCCAGTGAAGTCACCTGAGTAGTAATCTTGCTTCCATCCACTGTATATACTATATTTTTAGGGTTTGACTGCACTACACAATGCTAAATTGGTAAAGTTTGAAACATCATTCGGTCTGACATCATTTGATTACTTTTTTAATATCCTTGCAATGGTAGATCAGGAGACACTCAAAATGAGAAAGGCTGGCACCAATATCGCTGTTGTAATGTGGGATGAGTGCGGTGTTCCTGCTGCAGCTGTCCTAATCCAGGCCAGTCCCTTAAATTAGTCAACTTCTTTTTCTTCTGTGGTTTAATTTCTCCATTCTTATGCATGTGGGCTAAAACGATTGTCTTCTGTTTGCTTCCAGTGTTGCAAGGGAATGTTAAAATTACCCAGCAAGCTGTGCTTGTTTAATCTCTCTTTATAAATGTTAATACTCTTTCCTTTTCCACTAGCTTTGGTTTGTTATGTTTAAAATTGGAACATGAGAATCAGGATTAGGTGATATTGCAAAGCATGTATGCATGTAATAAAATTGATGTTCAAGACAGTAATAAGGATCTTCAGGTGACATTTAAACCAGTCAGAAATAACCCTTTATAGAAAAATTCTGATATTTTTTTCTGCTTGGTAAGAAAAAGACACTTCTTTATCCTTCTCTCTCATTTTAGGCTGGGAATGGAGGGCATAGTTTGGATGTCAGCAGTGGGACATCTTACCGTACCAAAGCATCCATGGGACTGTTGTCTAATCAATGACTTGTAAGTGCAGGAGCTGTTAGATTGGAAACAAGTGCTGCAAGATGCCAAGTGAGGTACTTGAGAGCAGCGGTGAGATGGAGGAGACCGTGCAGAAAGAGGGCAAGTCTGGAAACCAGAGCCCTCACCGTGGCTCCATGAGAAGGGCTGTGGCAACCACTGTCACCTTTGATGGGGAAGCCACTATGGACCGCAGGAAAAAGAAGAAGAAAGAGTCCCGTCCTGAGTCAATAATAGTGTATCGGTCGGAGAGTGAGAATAAGGTGGAAGAGGAACAGGCAGATGAAGAAGGAGGGGAGAGGGGCTCCGAGGAAGGCTCCAAGTTCCTGGGTCAGTCCATGGCAGATGGTACGTATTCCCGGGAACACCCACTTTCCATAAACCTTTTTTGATCCCAGCATGCACTGGGGTCAAGTGGAAGTGACTGTGGGGCCACCCTTCTCCAAGACTGCAGGCAAGGAGAGCTTGAGTTCATACATGAAAACACACACTTGAAAAGCATTCCAGGCTGATTTGGGGTGTCTGCTGCAGTCATTTGCAGAGGTTGGTTGTTGCCACACTCTTTGTTTTAAATGTGTGTGCTCGTTGGGGTTGATGCAGAAAAATGCTGAGCGTGCTTTAAGCCAGTGGTGCTGTGATCAAGCCCATGTCCATGCCTAAAACAACTGCCTGTTAAGTGCAAGGGTGGAAGCAAGGGTGGATTTAGTGGCTTTACCTGCGACAGGGAGTTTCACTCATTATCTAGGATTTGCTGTTACCTTCTGTTTGCACATTCACAGCACAGCTTCCTCTTTAAGACATTATTTGGCAAGGTCATCATGGGGCATCTTGAAGCCACTTGGACTGCTGATGTCTGTCCTGGATACCTTTGCAGGGAAGAAGTGTGGGAGACAGGTCCTATGGCTAATCCTCTTATGAGTCAACAGGGCAGCCTGAGAGGGGCTTAAAAGTGAATGCATGCTCTGGTTCATCAGCCGCACCAGATTCCTCCATGATCCCAACACCTATCCTCATGGCTTATCTGATGCTTTCCTGCTTTTTGTGGGCTACTTCAACTGCTCAGCCTCCTTTTAAGAGCCCCTGAAGACCTCATTACGAGCTAGTCAGAATTAAGATCAGGAGGAAGCATACTGTAGACCCGTAGAAAAGATTATGGCCAGTACCACTGCAGGGATCATCCTAAACCAATGTCACTTGGAAGCTAAGGCAATCTGACTTTAACACACATCCCAACACTTTCTTGTTTGGTGCCTTTGTTGATCTTTAAAATGCAAGTATCATTACATGAGAGTTTGTAAGGATTTTCTAAACTCTAAAGGTTAATTTTCATTGAGATAGAGTGCAAATGTAAAGTGAAATGTTAGCTATGCAAGTGTAACTCCATGTGTGGATGTGCTTATTCCAGAACAAGGTCTTAGTTGTATTTGTATAATTTACCCCAAGTGTTCACGCTGTTCAGGAACAAATCTATGAGGGTACCAGAGAAAATTGGGGTACCATTTTTTATTCTGTTACTCTGTCTCATTTCTTTCTCATATTCTTGCAGCACTTTCCCTTCACATACTATCCCCAATGTAGATGATGGAGTCTTCTCCCTTGTGATTTCTGTCACCTGGAATGCCTGTCTTCTCCCTCATTATCTTCTTCCATTTTATTCTGTGATAATCTTTTTTATACTGCATTGCTTCCTGCATTCCATCTTTTTTTTTTTTTTTTAAATTTAGCTCTAGCTCATATGCACTGTCTCATTGTCTTTGGGGATTTACACAAAATACTCCATACAGAAAATAAATCTAATGTGGATGAGTTTGTCTGTGTTCATAGGTGTATGGAACATGCCTTTAGACAGCCGATATGTCACCTTGACTGGAACAATCACCAGGGGAAAGAAGAAGGGTCAGATGGTGGACATCCATGTCACACTAACGGACAAAGAGCTGCAGGAACTGGCTAAGTCAAAGGAACCTCCTAAAGAGGATGAACCTGAGAAGAAGAAGAAATGTGATGTTGGGCTGGACAGAGGACCCCACATCGTCCTCTGGACCATTATCTGCCTCCCCCTCATTTTTGTAGTGTCCTTTGTGGTTTCATTCTACTATGGAACCATTACATGGTACAACATCTTTTTGGTGTACAATGAAGAGAGGACCTTCTGGCACAAAATCACCTTTTGTCCCTTTTTGATCATCTTCTACCCAATTATAATTATGGTTGTGTCTTTCTCCCTAGGGTTGTACTCGGCTGTGGCCCAGGTAGCTTGGTCCTTTGGTTACTGGTGGCATGCTGTCAGGGATATGGAGAAGGGCTTCTGTGGCTGGCTCTGCAGCAAGCTGGGTTTGGAAGATTGCTCTCCGTACAGCATTGTCGAGCTGCTAGATTCTGACAATATCTCAGGTAGTCTCTCTGGCAAGAGCTCTGCACAGGGGGTTGAGACTTCGGCAGTCTGAGCCTTTGGTCTGGCTGACTGTTTTGGTCATATGCGAGTGGTTTACACCTAGAAAATAACACACTGATTTTTATATATATATATATGTATATTTAAACACGAACTTTATGAATAAAATATTAGGCTGGGAATGCTCTTTAAATGTCACAGAATACAAGTGCGCTAGCTTCACATGGTCTGGGTGGGGAGGTGTATGGCTCTCCAAGGATCTGTCATCTGGTTTAGCTAATTACAGCTGGGAATGGTGAGAAAATCCAGGTTTGTGGAGCTTGGGCTGTTTGTGGGGTGGCAGAGATACATGCTGGAAAGTCCACTTCTGTAAAGTTAGACTTTCAGTGAATGGGACATAAGAGTGACCTGTCAACTCAGTGGAAAAACGTTTCTACTTCTGATGTTCAGGAGCTAGGAAATCATTTAGAAATGAAGGCTAAATTGCAAAACATCGTGTTCCTGCAGTTTTCCTAGAAAGGGTCCTTTTCCAGTCCTTGCGACAAGGGCAGCAAACCTTCCAGGTAGGCTGACTGCTTAGACATTGTCAGAGTTTGAAAAATAGACCAGTACAGGAGTGGTGCCCAGCCTTTCCAACAGGCACGCGAGCCTTATGCTGACCTGAAACGCATCCAATCACACGATGGAAGAGTCGGGTTTGTTCTGTAATGCGCTGCATAGGGACTGGAGGGCCTGTCACCAAGCACCCTCGGGGCTGTAGGTGCACAGATAGGTGCTTCCACACCTGCATTTGATAGGTGCGCTGCAAGGAAGGAATGGGCTACGTGAGTCGTACGCAGTGTGAGGTGCAAACAGTTGTACTCTAGGCAAGAAACATCTGTCCTGAAGAAAGGTGATCCATTTGCGTGTCACTGCAATGCCAGTGTGGCGTGGTGGCACCTGTATTTAGGGAAGTGGAGTGGACAGGGCTTGGAATGGGAAGGTCTTACTGAAATGGTCGTTGTGTTTTTCAAGTTGCTCTGATGGAAGAGCTGCTGGACCCTCCACTTCAGAACGGGGATGTCCCTGAGCCCGTGTCTGTTAGTGCCAGTGCAAACTGCATTAGTGCTTCAGCTCTCGAAATCCGCATTCCACACACACTCCCCAGTTAATGATATGGAAGAGCAATGGATTATACATCCTCCTCCTCTCATGTCTCATTTTCATAATTGGTTTCCCTCCTTCTGAAACTTTGCATGGCATCTTAGTGAGTTCCCAGACAAGGCTGAGGTGGCTGCCATAGGCTGGAGAAATATCAATGTCTCTTTAAAAATATGACTAGCAGAAAAGTTCTTTTTCTGGATTGACTGTTGGGGTTTTGGCCTAAGGAAGACATGAGGAAAATAAGAGAGAGGTATAAAGGACTCTAATGGGGACTGAGTTTTCGGAGTGCTGTGGTTCAGCTGGTGCTGCTAGAAAGTCTTTCTCAGCCCCATCCCAGAGGAGCCCACCGTTTGCATGTGTGTAGGTAGGTAATTCGTAGTGTGCTGTCAGTCAGGCTGCAGTGTCACTCATGTCTGTGTAGGTGTTTCACTTCCCCAGTCTCCCTACCAGAGGGGGAGCTGCTCTGGTTTTAGGATGGTAAAGAGAAACATTCACGAGCTGGATTTCACAGGAACTAATGCTTCGTGTTGCATTACAAGGATAGGGTCAAGACTACACTGACCAGCTTTCCTGGTTAGGATATTGGGAACCTGTGACTTACAAACAAGTCCGTCTGATGCTGTAGGCCTGGCACAGAAATAAGTAAAGTCTCTGCTGCATCCTTGGTCCATCCGCTTCTGGGAGATCCAGCCAGAGTAGCCTCTTAGCACAGGCTTGAGGATTAACAGTGTGAATAGCATGTGAGCCAGATACCAAGAGCAGGCTTGGCCCCACACTTTACAGGTACAGCCAGGCTGTGTTTGCTGCTTCCTTATGCACAGCTTTCAGTTTTCATTGGATAAGTCTTTAAAGGCAATGACCAGCTTCCAGGAAAAAAAATAATTAAAAAAAAAAAAAGATCCCAGCCTGTGAGGCAATGGCAGATAATTCAGTAGGGTTCAAAGGGGCTGACACATGCCTGGGACCAGTTCAAGCAGTGAAACGCCTTTCTCAGGGCTGTTTCAATCAGGGAGCTTGATATGCCTCTGAATTAATTGAGAAGCTAAGGATAAGTCATGCCAGTGCTGGCAGCCTGTAGTGACCCAGCACAGCCACTCTGCTTAATAATCTTCGACATGGAAATCACAGGTTCCCACATGGCTGGAGAGTGGGAAGAAGTGATGCTTAACAAGCATTAATGGGAAGGAAGACCCGGTGGCAAGTGTCCTCAAGCTTTGCCTAGAGGGACACTGCCTGCATGAAAGGAGTGGATTGTGTATCTTGGCCCCAACAAGGGTTTGCTGCAGCAAACAAGGGTGTCTGGGGGAAGGATGGCTGGCAAGTGTGCACTGCTGCAGAGGGAGAAAGCCCAATTCAGCTGCCACTGCCAAGCAGCAGCTGTTCAAGGCTAGACGAAAGGCTGGGGTCAGCAGCACAAAGAGCTTTCAGAGGGCTTGAATGATAAATACAAGCTCGTTACAGAATGCAGCCATGTCAAATGTCTGCTGGGCTGCAGGATTTGCTTTCAGAATTGCAAACAGCCTGCCAGAGCAGAGACAAAACCAAATCTGTGCCTCTTACTGCTGTGCAAACACAAAGGAGCGTCAGAGAAGTATTACCCACCCTCTGCCAGGGCAGCTAGGCTTTTGGGTTTGGAGGCCACCTTTCTGGGGATATACTGGAACAATCCATTGTGTGTTTTCTACTTCACACTTAACCAAGCTTGCCGATTTCGGTGGGGGCTAGTTTAAGCTTGGGTTAGTTCTGGTGCTATTTGTAGAAGTTTTATTCAAACTTTTCCCAAAACAACTCTGGACAGCTTTCTCTTTTGCCTGTTATCTCCCACAGTGGTTTGCCTGATGCAAAATATATGAACATAATCACTTGTAATAGAAAAAAGCACAAGTTTTTGTCTTGTTCTACCCTTGCTTTCAGAAACTCACAAGTAATTTCTGCTTATGTGCCACTTCCAAACTGCAGGGAGTTCCAGTTACTCTGATGTTGAGTGTGGTTTTGGCTGCTCTAGTCTGGATGGTTTTTCTTTAAGTAAAGATGATGTGTGTTTGCTGATGATTATTTTTAATTGCATTCCCTTTTCCCATCCTTGCTGGCCTGGGTGGAGAATAAAGATGTACGTGGCTCTAGAAGAGTGTTGCTTTTGTGCTACTGCTCAACTTGGTGTTAAAAACAGTGCTGTGGGATGGACACAGTCATTCTATGCTGATAATCGATTACAAGTCGTAATCCTTGAAGACCCACTTTAAAGTGTCTGAAATGTGTCTCAGTTTTGCCTCTTGTTAACCTGTGCCTGTTCAGAACTGTCCTATCTCTGGGGTCTGGGTTCTTCTTTGTTTTCATTTCATAGCTCACAAATGAAAACTTTTTGATTTCATTTCACTCACTGGGTGTCTGTTTGGCTTTAGCCACAGGGATCTGTAGGGACACGCTTCCATACCAAAGTAAGAAGTACGTTTAACACCGCAGATACGGTCTGTGAGTCTGTGACTTGGAGCTGCTATTTACAGCTATGCTGGGAAGGTTTCTTACAACCCCTGAGTACTCCCTGAGTACTCCAGACATGCCTTTGTTATGATAAGTCAAAGGAGAATCCACCAATACAGTTCTTTGAGGTGTCTAAATATTAAATGACACCCTCAGTGCTCTCCCACGCAGTGTTACTACCCTCCTGCTAACACAGAGCAGACACTTACTTGGCATATTCTTTCTTCCATGCATCTTTGGAAAACCCGAATGAAATTCCCAGCGGAGGGCTGGCACAGCTTCAGTGTAACAGATCTTCAAGCCAAAAGGCTGCCTGCAAGTGACTTCCTCCAACAGTGCCATGTCCAGCACAACAGCTGGGAATTCCAGGAAGATGCTCTCAGTGTGATGCCTGGTGCAAATACTGCCAAGGGAACAGGATTTCCTGCAGAGCGGATGTCACTGGGGACTTCCCACCTCCAGTGAAGAACCTGGTGAAGGACACTCAGTTTTCTGGGGTGGCAGAGTGGGATGGAGGTAGTGGGCCCAGAGAACTGCCTCATTAACCTTTGCAGTTCTTACCTTTGAGGTACAAGGTAATAATTCTGTAAGATAATGGTTGGCAGTGGGAGAGACTCCCATTGAAGACCTTTGCACCAGGCAAAGCACACCTGTACAACTGCACCGTGTATTTCACTGGGGGGAGAGAAGGGGTTAATTCTGCCTGCTGGCTTACTCACTCCATTCCGTTTCTTTGAGAACTGAAACAGTCGCAGCATGAACTGTGCTTTTAACCACAGTTAGGCTCTTCAATTCACCTTTCTAATCCATCAGGCCAGTGCTTTGAATCCTGAGGCCAGGATCCTGCAATTCCTCACCATGAAACTATTGTCAGGGGCTGCTCCATGGATCTTTCTGGCCCCCCTCATGGATAAGATTTCGAAGCTGCAACCACTAGTTCAGAAAAGCCACTCCAGCCTGCTGCCGCACACTGAGGCTTGCAATTACACTCGTGTTAAAGAGAAAGTAAGGATACGCAGCCCGCATTCCTTCCCTGTGATGAACACAATTTTGCTCAAAATTTAGTAAGCCTTTTTTGTCCCAGGCAGTGAATTATCTGGGGGACCAGTGCCCTTCCTGCTTCTTTCCAAAGACCTGTTGATGTGGACGCAGTTAGATTAATGTGGATCCATTTCTGAGTAGATTAGACCATCTAAATTTATTACCTGTATGGAATTGGAACTCACAAAAAAAAAGGTTGAAGCAAATTCAGACCTTTTCCAAATCCCACTACCCATAAAAGGGGCTAATTCACTTGGAAATGCAACTTTTCAATTAATTTGGTGAATCAGAAGGGACATTGAGTCTGCTTAACTACGAGAGCATGATTTCTCTTCCAACAAGCAGCCACTTAATGATGAGAGAGGGTTTGCGGTTGTGTGTTGCATA